AAAGCTTAATGAGGGAAAGGATAGCAAGCAATGTTTTTGCAGTGGGAAATACGAGACAGTATAAAGGGCAAGAAAAGAAGAAAAATGCATCAAGGGAAAAAAAATCTGAAAGATCTGAATACCTAATTCAAGTGAAGCTGCTGGATGTAGTTTGGACCTGTCCATAACAATTATTAGTGCAGATGGAAAATAAATATGTCAAAGGAAAAGCAGTATTGCTTCTAAAAGGTAATGATAAAGGATGCTCAGTCTCATGGTAGACTGGTGTAATGGGAAGCAGCTGTGTGCAGCAGCGGTGCGCAGGCATCAGAGAAAGAGTCTTGGGAACCAGAACTGCTAGGCTGTCAGGCTGCGGAGGTGGGGGGAAGCCAGGGAACACAGGTGGGCAGCTGTGGGCTAGAGGGTCCCCGGTTCAGATACTGCATGAAAGTACATATTCGCTATTTCATATCATGGATATGAGTAATTTCTCAAATGTCTGAAGGAATTTCTTTATCTCTTTTAAAATAAAATATGCAACTGAGAAAATGCACAAACCCAGAACTGCATTTTTTTTTGTTTCCACTCAGCAGCTAAAACAGTACTTGAGAAACTAGAAATTTTCCTTGCTTATGCACAAAGGTAAACATTACATAAATGGGGAGAAAATGCTTAAAGTATTGACATGTACAGACTCCCCAGGAATATCTGGTCATAGGAATAAAGTCAGGTGATCCCAACAGACATGTGAAACACTGTTGTAGTGATAGCTTGCAATTCTGCTTTGGGATCTTAAAATATTAACTGTACAGATTATAATAATTATCTTATAAACATTTTTTTCACAACTTTCTAATACGTACTTACTTTCTTTTCCTAATTTCTAAAGCAAAACACTCACCTCTACCTCCTCAAATTTTATTTCCAAAAGATAAAGACATAGTAGAAGTGGAGCTTGGTAAGTACAGCCTTTAAATTGTTTTTAAATTAACATTTTGTGATGCCCTAGCGAACATGAGGATATTCAAGAAGATTTAGTGACGGAATTTTTCATTACATTTTTGCACCATAATGTTTACCAGATTTAATTCACCCCAGGCACAGTGATGTGAAGCTAGATATAACTGAAGGCTTATTTAGGTATTAAGCAGCAATTTCAGGCTATTTAAATAAACCTTTCTACCCTTACTGGGATAGTCTAAGATTACTCACATGGTCAATTATTACATCTCAGCTGAAGGTGTGACAGCTTCCATCCACTTCAAAGAGAGCTTTAGCTAAATCCCTTGAAACTGCTTGATGGTACCCCTAAGAGAGAAGGATGGACTATTCTTGCAGCTAGAGATACTCCTTGTTACTTGCAGTTTGGTCTGGAGGCAGTGGCTGTGTCTCTTCTGGTGAATGAAGGAGAGCAAGGGACTGGTCGCTGGCCCTGAGACTGTGGAGCACTGCCTGACTGATGTCCACGTTGGCTAGTGTTGAGCAGACCTGTCTAGGTGGAAGACACCAAGAGGGCTGAAAAACAGGATCAAGGACTGAACTTAGAAAGAACAGGTTGGAGAGCTTGTGATGCAGAGCTTTAGGACCATAGAAGTTCTCCATGGTTCAGGTTCACCCTGTGTAACTTGCTGAATCAGAGCAAGGTGCTTGTGGTAGGCATAAGAGCTGTCTAGGGTTTTTGTGTAGTCAGTGGAGAAAGGTGGACCTCTCCAGAAAGCAAGTCCATCTGAAGCTTGAATATGTAGCCCAGGATACCTGTCTCCCAGGGCAGGTGGGGTCAATCTGGGCCGCTGGGAGAAGGGATCACAATTACTACTCCACTGTTTCTGTCCTACAGCGAGACTGCTGTGGTAGCAGGGACTGCAGGGGCCTGGGGCTGCATGCTCAGAGAGTTGCCTCGCATTCCTGTTCCTTTTTTCCTCTTCTCCCTCGTTGCTTTGTCACTCGGAATTTGATGATCTGTGCTCCAGGACCACCTTTCTCTAATAATATGGTCAGTCTCTAATGCTCTATGCACCCTGTCCACCCCTCTGGGACAACAAGTAATCTGGCACTGCTTGCAAGGAGAAAATTCACTTTGCATTTAAAAACCACTTGCTGTACAGGATGTAATGTCTCCTATTTGCACAACTGAAGGGCTTTCTGTATGCTTGCTAATAACAATTCAGGATGTAAGCCATAAGATTCGTTAATCTTATCTAAGCCCTGCTTAGATGCAGATTTACATGGAAATAGTTTAAAGTGTTTTAATCATACCTTCTTCTGGTGCAATGGTGACTCTTACTTTGGAATAAATATTTCCTAATGACAAATACTTAATAAGTAATTTCCTGTTTTAGTTTCACTTGGGCTGGTTTACTTTACTTCTGTCCAGCTTGAATAAAATCCAAGGTAAGAGTCTTCACACAAGACTTACGCAAAATAATATATACTGACATTAAATTATGCTATTTCCATGTACATTTTTGTGTAAACCAGCATTTGCTTTTCATGTTCCTCAACAGCTGACTGCGTGGGTTAAGCATCAGAAGTAAAGTCTGCATTGTCTTCATCATAACAAATAGAAATGATTCCTTTTGTAATCCTCGGTGTCATATTAGATCATTTGTTAAAATCTCCCTTTACTATTTCTTTCCAGTCTCTTCTATGCATCATTTTCTCAGCAGAGAAATGTCAAAATTGTTAAGACAAAACTCACAGGTAGTATGAGTATTTGTAGAAATAGATGTTATAAGGAAAATAAAATGACTTGTTTTTCGTCAAGGAATGTTTACGTTGCTCTGTATCTTGATTAGGTGCTGCTTTGTCTCTGAAATGTCAGGCCCGCCTGGGGATTAAGAAACAGCCGATGGCTGTTGTCACATGGGATGTGGATAACATCTCGGTGAAATACTTAGGTTTTTCAAGATTTCGTGAAAAAACTCATTTGTAAGTACATAGAACACAGAATAATCTTTCTTCTATGCAAACTGCGCCTAGCCATTGAAGACAACGGTCCCAGCTCTTTCTCTCTCTGTTAGTTTTGAAGGACGTGAGCAAGAGTATTACAGAGAGGCCACTTTGCATATTGCTAAAATAAAAAAGGAGGATCTGCGGTCAAATTTCACATGCGTAGCGCTGAACGAAATGCACAACACAAAGGCCACGGTGACGTTACGACTCAAAGCACAGTGTGAGGGTAGGATTTTTTTGTTTTGTTTTCTTACCCTTTGCACTCGGTTTGAAGAATGTTGGTGACTTTATTTTATTATTTGTTTCTGTTCATAAGAAAGTTTCTGCTAGTAAGAAGAAAAAACCAGCCTGCTTCCTCCCTGCGTATTCAATGCAGTGGCAAAATTCTCACAGCTTCATTAGGTCATGAAAGTCCTTGGGGTAAATTATGCTGGGAGGGGGGACGTTACCCAAATGGTAGCAGTGAAAGATTAAAGATGCAGAGCAGGACAGTGTATGAGCCCTGTAATAAGAATATCCTGTTTCTAGGAAATTTCTGCTTGGTGACAAATTCCCCTTGCCGTGAAGGCAGGCAGTGCACTTGGACTTGAAGCACACTGGTATAGTGCAGTCTGCTCTGCAAGATACTCAGGCTGTAGAGGATCCTCTGCAGATGAGAGCCAGGCAAGGAACTGACCTCTCCTTTGGTCGTCAGTGTTAACACGCATTATGAGGAGCAGAGATCCATCTTCTTTTGAGAATCAAACTGTTGTTTCTACTGCAGAACTATGGCAGAAATTCAGCAAACTTTGAACGCAAGAGTTTCAGCTGACAGTTTACCAGTTTTCTTGCCTTCCCTCCCATACCACATCCACTGTAATGCCTTGGGTTTTTGACCGAATGTTAGGTGGCGTGACTAACCTCTGTGATGTCTGCCTTTATCCTCTCTCCCTCCGAGCACTACTGTGTTCACTGTGTGCCGCACAGAGGTGTGAATAACACTTCAGGGGCTTTCCCTTGGTTTAGTTTTTAAATTCATGATTCTATTAATTGGTGCCAGAGAAGGAAAATTGAGGTCAGTACATGGTGGAGGCTGGGATGGTCTTTAGCTGCTATGGGAATGTTTTTTTTAATAGGGCTAGTCAAACCCCTGAGAAAGCACTGTCACCAACACCAGTGTGATTCTCATGGCAGAAAATGTTACTGTGTCTGCGAAGGCACAAGAAGCTGCGGTCAATGATTTCCTTTCTTATCACCTCAGATGTGCTGAACCACCAAGGACCTTGAGAAGAAATCCCAGGGTCTTTAACAGGGATTAGTTTTCTGTGAGGGAATGCTGGAAAGAGTAAAACCAACTGTATTGTGATCATGGGGTGTGCACAGCTCCATGTCCTGCGGTATCCTTGACTGTTCATAGCTTCCTACAGGATTATGGCTTCAAAGCATAGACCTATTTCCTTGCCATAGCCTAGACTAGAAGGGATATAGGTGACTTATAACAGAGGATGGGTCATCATCCAGCAGGACAACACTGATTGCCCCCAGAGGAAAGTTTTGGTTGGATATTATTAAATGAGGGCAAGTGTAGCATGACTCAGGAAGCTGGAAACAAAACAGCTCTGCACTGAATTATCTCCATATGGGAGTATACTTGCAATGAGAGGAAAGGAAACTGAGTAACAGTTCGTGCTCACTCTAGTTCAGGCAAAACAAGTCATTTATGGCCCCCATATTGCAAACTACATGAAGGAAAGAGAGTATTTT